TAACTCAGATTCCATGCTCCTTCCATGATTCTGTTCACTTTCTTAATAGTGCCTGCTGCCATTTTAGGCATGAAACTTGTTCTGCCCGATTCTAGACGGTTACCTTTTCCCTGAGTAGACCATCATTGTAACCCTCTTCATTTACTAACATCGTTTACTCTTCCAGGAGTTAAATTACCCTCCAGTTTCCATGGCTACTCCTCACAGCCTCACGATTCTCCTCCTCTCTGTCTCTCTCTCTGTCTCTCTGTCTCTCTCTCTGTCTCTCTCTCTCTCTCTCTGTCTGTCTCCCTCTGTCTGTCTCCCTCTGTCTGTCTCTCTGTCTCTCTCTCTCTCTCTCTCTCTCTCTTTGTCTCTCTCCCTCTGTCTGTCTCTCTGTCTCTCTCTCTCTCTGTCTCTCTGTCTCTCTCTGTCTCTCTCTGTCTCTCTCTCTCTCTCTCTCTCTCTCTCTCTCTCTCTCTCTCTCTCTCTCTCTCTCTCTCTCTGTCTCCACCTCTGTTTCTTAAGATCCTACCCCAAAGCCGGGGGTGTAGATGCCAGTCAATGGTAGAGAACTCTAATCCAATACCACATATACCTGGGGAGTGGCACAATTTTGTAATCCCAATGTACCAGAAGTGGTGGCAGGAGGATAAGATGATAAACATCTCGTTGGGCACCTAATATATTTTGAGGTCAGTGAGATACAAAGGCCAGGCCTCAAAATAACATTGGATTTTTAGTTAAAAAGTGAATTCACGACCCAATGTTGCAAATAAAAAGATGGTCTGTTGGCTCTGTTTAAAGCAATATCCTGTTTTTCAGTTTTCTTTGCAGGAGAAGACCAAAAAAACAAAAAACAAACAAACAAACAAACAAACACCTTAAATTGAGAATACACACCTTCTTTGGGAATGAGTGAAAATGCGAAGATCTGAAACATCTGGTTCTGTTTATAAGAAAATAATGTCGCGTGTATATTTGTTAGAAGGATGCAGTGACTAAAACTAAGGTACCTAGAGGGGCCTCAGTCTCCCAAGGCCATGCATGCCTCACTTCCAGTTAAGATCAAATCTGGTCCCAACTATGAGGGACCATAGAAAAGAAGCTACCAGAGAGTTAATCCCTGCTAGGTCTTTGTGAATACTGATCAGACACAAGGAAGGAAGTTACTAACACTGACATGAAGTCATGTTGGGCACAGTAATGCTTTACCTGCAATCTCAGCACTCAGAAAGTTGAAGCAGGATCATATGTTTGAAGACAACCTAGACTTCATTGGGAGACCCTGTGCCAAACTAAAAAGATGGATCAGCCAAGGGCGTGAGCAAACATGGTTATTACGTGAAGCAACTGACGTTACCTGAATATGTTCTAATGTTGACAACTATTTATATTCGGTTTAGAATATTTGCATCAGACAGAGGCATATTTCCTTAAAGACTTATTTCTTTCTGTTTTTTGTATGGATGGATGGTTTGATTTCATGATGGTCCATGCACCATGTGAGTAAAGTATACAGAAGAGGGCATCAGAACTACAGTTACAGACTGCTGTGAGCTGCCATGTGGGTGGTGGCAAACGACCTGCTGAGCCATCTCTCCAGGCACCAGATACAAGCGTATTTTACTTCAAAATTGGGAAACCATAGCTAACCTAGATGGGGGTGGGATGAATATGACCTAACTCTAAAGAGGCCACTATGCTTCCCTTTTTGGCTATCATCATGTTAAAGGAATGGAATTTAAAAAAAATCTCCAGCTGAAAGAAGAAAGGACTGAAGCCAGAAAAAGAATTTGTCAAAGGATCTCAAAGTAGAGAATAATTTCATAAAAGAAACTTGGCTCTGGGCTAGTGCTGGCCAGGTGACCACACCTGGTGGTCCTGCTTCAAACCTTATCCTCATGTCAAGACCCTGAAGGTAGACTGAGGTGGGCAGGGGTCAGTGGATGTCTTTGTCCTTCTTGCCACTGTTGACCACATTGAATAAATCTTTCCTTTCTGGATTTTATTATCTTAAAACTCTGGCTTTAAAAAGTGCTTGAGCACAAAAGGGAAGCTAGCCGGCACACCTGACTCTTCTAATATCTTCACAATTGACTACTATAGAAATTTTGAAAAGCACAAAAGGTAGGATCCAAACCTAAACTTAAATTCTAAAACTTTGAAGTATTTGAAAAGAGGTTAATGCTAGCTTATTTTAGGATCAAAAGATAAATACTATAATAGTTTTAAGACATACTTACTCATGAAATATAAAAGAAATAAGTCAGGGACAATTAGAAACTCAATATACAAAGGCAAGAACCAATTCCTGACACTATTTATGATACTCTGTTATGCTTGCAGACAGGAACCTAACATAACTGTCCTCTGAGAGCTCCACCCAGCAGCCAATGAAAACAGATGCAGAAACCCACACCCAAGCAGTAGATGGAGCTAGGGAAGTCTCGTGGAAGATCTGAGGGAAGGATTTGGGATACTGAAAGGTACAGGGAATCCACAAGAAGACCAGCAGAGTCAACTAACCTGGACCCAAGGGGCCTCCCAGAAACTGAACCACCAACCAAGGAGCAAGCATGGGCTGGACCTAGGACTCCCGCACATATATGACAGATGTGCAGTTTGGTCTTCATGCAGGTCTCCCAACATCTGGAGTGGGGGCTTTTCTAGATTCTGTTGCATATCTGTGGATCCTGTTCCCCTAAACAGGTGACCTTGTCTGGCCTCAGTAGGAGAGGATGTGGCTAGTTCTGCAAAGACTCCATGTACCTGGGTGGGGAGATTCCAAGGGGAAGATTTCCCCTTCTCAGAGAAGAAGTGGGGCATAGGGAAGGGAGTGTGGGGTGCTGGGAGGGGGGCTGCGATCTGGATGTAAATAAATAAATAAATAAATAAATAAATAAATAAAGGAGAGAAAAGAAGTCTAAAGTAAAATTAAATTAAACTGTATAAATAGTGAAAGAAATAGAAAGGCAGTGGCGGGGGAATGTGGGGGTGAGAGAAAACCTTCAGAAAATGTGTGTGCAGTGTGAGGCGGGGAAGGAATTAAAGGAAACAAACAGGCTGATCATGTTTCATAGATTCTTGATTTGTTTAGTTAGACATTTCAGGCGTGTCCCCTGGGAGAACACTGGGATAAGTACACACCACTAATTTAATTTTTTCTCCTTTTGGGCCACATACCAAGAAAGAAAGAATTGACTTCACCCCCACAAAGCTGATTTCCCAGTCTGACCATAAGTGTATACTAGTCTAAGATTGTGAGAATTATTGAGAACTCATTTAAATACATTTTTTCCTCGGTTTATATTTATGACACTTAAACTTGTTGATTTTCAACAATAATTTCAAATCCATAAGTAGGAAACATCCTATAATGCAACCTAATTGAATTACTTACTAAATTTTCAAATTCTGTATCACAAATAAAAAGCCTGTAGAAAAGTTTTTACTTGGGGGGCAGAAGAGTCCAAGATTTTAGCTAATAACACTTCCAATGAGAACTATTTTTTTAGATCAGGATTTGGGGGCACATGAGACATTCACTTGATGAACCTTGTGACATATTTAATTCATGACTGTCCATTCATCCCTTGGAATCACAACATTGTATATGGTATCGCAGACAGGCTATGAAGCTGGTTATAGGAGAAACGAGGTCATCAGGAAATCTTAGCACATGCAGCTGTTACTTCTGTTGAGAGACCCCAGACAGACACTAATTGAGTTTAAGTGTGCAGTCCATTATGTCAAGAGACTTTTACAGCGAGCAGAACTAAGTGACTTACATCTTAGATGCAATGCCCTGTGCCTGATTCTGGGAGAAACTAAGGGTAGTGAAGCTTTAATAAAGCTATCATCTGCTGGATAAACACTTTGAAACCCATGCTTTCTACATGTAACACTAGAAGAATGTAGAGCATGAGATAATGGATATCCACATAGGGTATTTTGAAATATTTTAAAATTACAAAACTAACATACTATTGATTAATTATGTTCTACCTTCCTATCATGACAAATATAATTTTGAGTGGCCTAAGAGTATAGGTTTAAATCATAGTGTTTGGACTCTATGTGATCAAAGGCTGACAAGGTTCTAAAAAAAAAAATGGCTTAGGCTTCCGTGCCCTTATTTGATTGTGCCAGCATTCTTCCTAAATAGTCTACAGAGGCTAGCCCATTTTTCTGAAAAGTCCATCCCTACAACATCTACCTCTAGTATCATCTTCCTTGTTTTGAAGTACTGCCCAGTTCCACTCACTCTAGTCTTCCCCCACACCAAAGCAGGCTCAGTAACATCACCATGTAGCCATCACTTTGGGACTCACCCTTGTCAAACTTCAGGAAGCCACTTCTGCATTTGCTTACTGCCTCTGTATCTCTGCCATAAAAGTACACAGCATATAATAGGTCCTCGGTGAACAGTTGTGTGCAGAAGAATTAGAATTTTGTCCCAGGTCCCTGAAGTGACCCCTTCCAGGGTGATACTAGAGAAATTATCCTTGACCAAATATCGCAGCCTGATAACAAGCCCCTGAGATTACACTGTGAGATTTTTTTGGTGACCTTTGCTTCATCAGATCTTCTCTCCTTCTTTGTATTATTTATTGACAGTTCTTTTGTTTCCCTATCACATCCAATAGACTTTTCTTTTTTAGACATTTGTTCAGAGAAAAATATGTATGTGTCCCCAAAAACCACAACTAAGCCATAGGTCCACACTACTTTTAATGTTGTTGTATTGCAGTAATGTTACCAGTTTCCATATGCAGCTTTAACAGCAGGTTGAAAAATCTCCACAGAGCAGAGGTGATACCTATCTCCCTACCCATGCCCAAAGCTGGGCAACTCATGTATAGGAAATGAATAGAACTCCATGTGTTGATTTATCGATATTTTGCATTATCCTGAGGAATGTGTTGCCTTAGATATAAATAATAAAGCTTCTATTAAATAACACAAAAAGCCATGGGTCTAAGCAAAGCTCCATTAAAAACATTTAGGTCAGGACTTACCATCCCCCGTCTCTGCACAGAGCTGTAAGCCCAAATTGTTCTGTGGATTAATCACCCAATGATTGCTGGTCACAGTGATATCAAAGACGAGCCAACCCACGTCTAAAGCTTGTGTCTTCCTTGTATCTAGCAGAAAAAGATCTGCATCCCTAAGGAGAGAGGAATGAAAAATAAATTAAAAGTTTGAACGAAGGTCATAACTTCTCATATGAAAGTGAAAATATTTTAAAAGCACTTTAAAAGTAACATGAGTTAATTAAAGAGCAAGGAAATGAGTGGCTCCAGTGACGAGCAGAAAGACATCCACCGCTCACCTCCCAACCCCAACCCGGGACTTACTAAGACTATCGGAAAGTCATTTCTAGCTTTCTGTTTCTCATTGTTATTTCATGCTAACTTAATGGCCTTAATTTGTTCCCTGGTCATCAGGGCTTCCTCCAACAAACATCTGTAAGTATGTACCCCTTAACAAAAAAAGAAAAAAGGAAAGGAAAAGAATTAAAATGAATTGAGACAGAAATGAAAGTAGCTGCTCCAATTTGGATGAACGCGGCCTCTCGGAGGAGCGCAGGCAGGGGAGGTGTCGGCATCTGTTTTTGGATAATTGATTTATACTTTATATTTTTAATATAATAGTTTTGTGGATAGTAAGGTCCAGAAGGAGTCATTAAGCATACCACTCCATAAAAAGGCAAATCTCGTGAGTGGAGACACAACCCACAGTGACACGCGTGTCCTTCCCCTGTGAGTCTACATTCCCCTGGAACAATCATGGCAGTAAACAGGAATGCCTGTTCACTAGGACAATCCGAACAATGTCATGATTATTAACATTCGTGAATATATGTTGACTCTTAATTGTGCTATTAAGTTTATGAACATACGTTTGTTAAGTGACAGAGAATGGCTGCATATGTTCTCCTTCTACTACTGCAAGCGAAGCGTTGCCTGGTCCTGGGATCTTATCTTTAAGGTGTCACTTTACATTAATGAAACAGAGGCTCAAGTTAATCATTGTAAAGTGCTGAAACTCTGCCAACATAAAAAAATCACTAGTATCATTTTTAATTGAACTTTTCTACTTTTTGAATCCTTTTATTAAAGAGCATATTATACAGGGAGAAAAGTAAAGCTATGCTGTAATGAACTCCATAACGTCTCTTCAAAGATGTCTCAAAAATGCAGAAATTTTGAATAAGTCATACACAGATTTAGAAAGATCAAAAATTGAAGTATTTATGACAAAAATGAAAGTGAAACTCTAAATCAATATTTTAGGCACTTCATAGCCGTTTCATCGATTTTACTTGTTTAATACTACTCACTGAGCAGCCAGAGAAATTAAAATAAGTGAATAGGACAATCAAATCACCCAGTTATCAAATACTGCACCATAAGTATTCAAAGTGCTTAGCAGAGAAAGGCTGCAGACACGCTGAAGTCTGATGCAGGATGTAGTTTGGCATATTACAGACTTCTGATGAACAGGAAGTGCAAGGCAGGAACATCTCACACGTTTTCAGGACCCATTTCACTCATTCACACTAGACAACATCAATCAATTTTTTTTCCTCTCCTAACTTGGTAAAGCCACCAAATATACAGAATAAATAAAATATTAAAAAATTAGGATTTTTCATAGTTTTAAGCAATTGGAAGTTGTAATCTTTTTAACTAACCACTCTACTCAAGTCACCGCACCTTGGAAAAGACTCAAAGGCTACACGGATTTCAAGATTGCTCCGTTTTTGAAATATGATATCATTCCAATCATTCCTTTAAATAAGCTGATGGCCCCAATCATTGAAGCACTTGAAAAACTACAGATTAAAAAGCATTAGCTTTGGATGTATAGTGTATGTATGTGCACATGTTTATGTACGTATGTCCATATAAGTGTAGCTGCATGCATTCGGAGGCCAAAACTTGACACCATGGACTTTCCTCAATCACTGTGCTGCTTTCTGAGATGGGATCTCTCCTGAGCCTAGAGATCTCTTATTCTAAGGGTCTGGCCGGGGAGATCCAGGGGTGCCCCTGCCCCTGCCCCTCAGCACTGAGATTGCTGCTGTGCATCACCTCACCCAGCTTTTCATTTTTACTTTTTGACATGGGTGTAAGGGTCCAAACTCAAGTCTTCAGGCTTAAGTGGCAAACACTTGACCAACAATGATGTCTCCCCAGTGCCCTCAAAGGGATAATTTTGTTAGACTAAACCAACAAAGTTCTATAGGTAACCATTTAGGTGACATTTTCTATTATTTTTAAAATGTATTATACCATCTTTAAAGTGAAGTCACAAATCTTTCTAATTGTCCATCATTATTAATAACTGTAGATTTAATGTATATGTGCAGGGAGACACCATGCCACAGCACTGTGCAAGCTCTAAATGTCTGCATTTTTCAGTGACAAATTGCAATGCACCAGTCAACAAATCAAAAAAATGTGGTTTCAAAATCATGCATTCTAGTTCACCTCTGAAGGGTTTGGATAGTCAGCTGATTTCATAGGTATCAACATGTTTTCCTATTCTTGAAGAAAACTATTTTATTCTGATCATTTCTTTTGTTTCCCCATTTTCTTTTTATATAAAAACCTCAACATTACCTTCAGACAATAAAATTTGCTTTTGGGTAATAAAGTATATTATCAATGAACACATTGGCAGCCAGTCTGTGACTTTGTTCATGTAATTCTATTCACAATTGTTACTTAAAATAAACCCTCTCTAAGTCTACACAAAATTAGGCATGAATTCCTGTAGATTATAGAATTTCTCTACAAAGAACTTTTATCACTAAGAATAGTTTTAAAAGTCTTCTTATCATTTCCCATGTACAGGATACAATAAACCTGTTACATTTGACTGCTTTTTTTCTAGAGATCAAACTTAGGACCACATGCATGCTAGTCAAGAGCTCTGGCTCTGTGCCAGTACTTTGACTGAAAGAGAATAAATTCTTTCTGTTTTAAGGTACCCCAGACTTATAGTGGTTTGCTATAGCAACTTCATGGAATTCATACACTCGTTGAATTAGAAGATTCCCAAGTGAAACAGAGAGCTCACTAATATAAAGTACTGAGGAAGAACTAGGAAGAAAGAAAGCATGTCTATAAGATCCTTGGGCAGTGAGGCTATCAGTGGATGATAGGAAACATTAATGGAGTTTTAGAAATCCAATTGCAATTGGCTGAGAAGTGAATGAGAAAGTGACAGGACTGGGGAAGAAAAATGATGTGTAATTTGAGGGCGGTGGGGTAATGGACAACAGAATCAAGAAGGAGGGATTCTTCATTAAATGATTAATAATGTTGCTTACATAATGCATTTAAATACATATTCATAAGACAAATTGTCTACTATGTCAACACAAGATAATCTTGGGTAGACGATATTGGATCTCCTTTAAAACCAGCATGTACTGTTATAGCACTATACTTGGAGTTCAAATACAAAATTTCTTTATGAATCAAATCACTTGACAAGAAGCAGGGGATAAGCTAATATACTTGCTTTTGATCATAAAGTAACACTTGTGCAACATTTGTAATGCTTTTATTGATGTATTCTTTGTCCTTCCAATAGACAGCATCTACAATTGCATTTTCTGCATTGTTCTATGAAAGGTACTATATGACATACTTGTGGATAATGTATTTTCTTGCTTCCTTCTCAATGTGACTGACAAACATTTCACACTGATATTTTCCCACAACCTAAAGCAGGGCTGTAAGATTTTTGGATCCTCTGTGTCTTGGCTAGAGTTTCCATTGCAGTGATAAAACACAGTGATCAAAAGAAATTTGCAGAATAAAGATTCATATTCTCACAAAACAATTCTACCAGCTGGGGGACAAATATCCAAACTCATGACCCTATAAGGAATATTTTATGCTAAAATAGAGTGTGGCCAAGAAGAGCGTGGAGAACCTGCGAGAACACTTGCCGTTCTGCTTCGTCTCTACAAGGCACAGTCGTATCTCCACACTGCCCAGGCTTTCTCAAACTGAAACTCACCTTCTTTCATGACTATTTTTCTTTGAGTAACTTATCAATTCTAGGAAAATAATAATTCACTTACATGACAACCATATCATGGTTTATGAGAGAAGGAAATTACTCTGTCAGGAACTCAAAAATTAGTGACATAATCAGTGACCAAACAAAAAAAAATCCTCATCTGTCTCATCGTATAAATATTGCCACTACACTCCTGAGGAATTAATCTAGCACTGAGTTCATTAACTAAACATGTCACAATAACAAATTATAGCTTCTGAACTTTGTCTTAAAGTTAGAAGTTTGCCCAGTCCCCACCTACCAGACGCGCCAACACCTAAGACTCAGGGAACACAGCAGCAGAAGAGTAGATACAAAGACTGTAAGAGGACCATGGAGTTTACTGTGAGATGCTGTAATGCTGGAAGCTGCATTCTCAAAGTTGCACCAGTTTGACTGCCTAAACATGAGCCAAACAAGGATGACACAAATGGATGTGCTAACAAGGAAGGGGGAAGCCCCAAGGGCCTCAACCCTGCACAAGGAATAGATAGGCAAAGAGTGGGAGAAATAGTTTTTCTGGGGAAATGCATCACAGTTGGTTATCCAATACCAAATAGTCAGCCCTGAAAGCATACACACAAGAAGCATTAGACACACTGAGCAGGTGTATATAAGAATAGATATACATATGTGTGTATATGTTATATTTATATATGCATTGTATATGTAGATACATATATAGTAGGTTATAGTATATACTATATATAGTAGTATATAGTATTTAGGAATATATTATATGTAATATATATTATACATATATTTATATATGAGATTTTGAATACTTCTATATATTTAGATTTTATATTATGATATTATATATAATATATATTCCTAAATACAGTATACATATATATATATATGTGTGTGTGTGTGTGCCATAAATACATATGTGCATATAACAACAATGAAAAATGCCATGAACTTGAAACACATCAGGAGTAGGACATGGGAGGGCTTGAAGGGAGGAAAGGGAAGGGAAAATGATCTAATTATATTATAATCTCAAAATGAAAGAAAAATATGGAAAAGGCTAAATTTTAGATTGTGTGCGGTTTATAGATATTTTTAGATGACCCTTAATGT